CACTGCCCTCCAGGTGGCAGCAGTGCCACACCTCAGAGATTCCCATCCGCTCTTCTCCCGGACTTCCAAGTGTTGATGCCATTGACCAATCACCGCACAGATGATGGGAGGTAATTGGGTAATTGTATTTTACTGATCACTAGCAGGGAAAGGGAAAGGAAGTGGGGGGGAAAGGAACGCCAGAGGGGCCGAGAAGAGGCCGAGGATGGCTGCGGGTCCGAGAGGGACTCTGGGGTGGGTGGGTGGGTGGGTGAGATCCTAAATAACCCGGACTTGGCATCGGTGGAGAGAGAAAGAGAACAGCAGCTAGAGCCCCGCCAGGAGCTGGCGCCGACGCAGCGAGGGAGCGCATCGATCTATTCGGGGAGCGAAGCCGAGGAGAGCGAAGAGAGGGAGGGAGGGGGGAGGCGAGTTGGAGCCCGAGTGGATGGTGGCCGGGGCACCGCGGGGCGTGCAGCCGCCGCGCGGCCCGGGACGCGCCGGGAGGAGGAGCCGCCGGGGCGCCGGAGGGGGCGGCGGGCTGCGGGGCGGGAGGAAGGGCCGCGCGCAGACCGATCAACTTGTGGCTGGGAACCGGACCGGACCCCGCTGGGGACGCGGAGCCGGCGCGAAGCTGCGGCGGCGGCGTTCGGGCAGCCGGAGAGGAACGCACGATTGGAAGACAACGTGGTGTTTGAAATCTTGATGCTTTTTTTTCCGGGATTCCCCGTTCTTTCCTCTTCTTCCTTGTTCCCCCCTTATTTTTTTTTAAATTCTCCTTTTGTTTTTTGAAAAATCTAACATCTCATCGGTCCCATCCTGTCACATATAGAGATCTATTCTTTTTTTTTTTTTTTTTCCAAACCCCATCTGAACTTCCCTCCAACGCGCTGTGCTGCCCATCATCCCCATCGTCACCATCATCACCACGGATGCGCCGCTGACCGATGGAGGAGACGCGCAGCCCCGGACCGGCTGGGGCCTCCGACGGCGCAGGACTGCATCACGCCTCTCTTGGGTGATTCCCCCCCACGCGCGCGCGCGCGGGGATCCGTGGAGTTGTGCCCTACCTGGACAGCCTCTAGACCTAAGGTTTGGGGTGGGAGGTGGGGCGAGGACGGAGAGAAAGCTCAGCCCCCCCCCCCTCACCATCACCCACACCCCAGGCCTGAAAGAAGACCAAGAAAAGTAGTGGGGTGAAGAGAGAGAAAGAGGGGGCAGCGGAATGGACTGGATGACAGCTGCCGCCGAGCCTTGAAAATTCCCCGCACTCCCCCCCACCTCCCCCGTGGAACGTGCGGTTATGAAATTGCAGAGGCGGCGGAGGGACGGAGACAGAAGATAAACCCCGAGTTTGGAAGAGAGAGAGAGAGAGAAAGGGGGCGGGTGGTGGCCCACCTCCCCCCCCCACCACACCACACACCGTCACCCCTCAACCCCCCCACCCCGGGGGTGGCTGAAATCAAAAACCCGATTGCGCACTGGATTGTGATGAGAAATCTAATCAGATCTTGGGCGAAAGGGCCGGCCGGAAGGGGAGCGAGTGTGGAGAGTTGATCCTCTCTTCCCCCAGTCCCCCCGAAAAGAAGAAAATTCTTGGAAGAGGGGGTGGAGGGGGCGGCGCGGTGGGAAGCAATCGACGATGTGAAAGGAGACTTTCCTGTTTTTTTAAGTCCCCCCTCCCCACCCCGTCGCTGGTGGCGGCGGCTTGTTGGGTGCCTTGCAAACATGAAGGATGCGGCTGCGGGACGCAGCTCTTTCTGGTGGCCCAACGCAGCAGCAGCGGCGGCGGCAGCAGCAGCAGCAGCGGCGGCGGCGGCGGCTACACTGATGGTCCAAGAAAAAAGAAAGAACGAAGCCTTTTCTTTTGAGACCTGGATTTTTCACACAAACGTGTCTATGGGTGCGCGGGCAGCCTTGAGAAATGAAATAACCCCGGGCCAGAACCCACTAGGGCTCGGTATGTGCTGACATCAATAAATAATAAAAAGAAAAAAAAAAAACAGCTGAAAACCCTCCCGCCCTCCTTCCCTCCCTCCTTCCCTCCCACCCCCCACCCCCACCCCACAGGATGATTAGACATGGAGAATTGCAGATCCACCGTGTATGTTTATATATATATATTTTTTTTCTCTTTCTCTATAAAGGAAAGAGTATGCCAAGGAGATATTTTTGGAGCGAAAAGTTTGGGGCTTTTTTGATAGGAAAGTAAAGACCTGATTTTCTTTCTTTCTTTTTGAATTTCCCACACGAGGCAAGAGGGGGGAAAAAAATTAATAATGCCAAGAACATTTCAATGAAGAAAAGTTGAACCGCGGCAGAATGGGGCATTGATTTGGGGGGGAAAGAAATCAGCAGAGAACAGTTGGATGTGTGCCAAGGTTGACTAAAACTGACGGATAATTGCAGTTGGATTTTTTAAAAATCTATTTTCCTTCATCAACCTCCTGGGTTTTTTTGGGTTTGTTTGTTTCTTCTTCTTCTTCTTCTTTTGGTGTCAAGATCATGCGTTTTTTCTCTTTAACCACCTGGGTTTTCCTGTCTGGATGTTGCTGAGATGAATCAGAAATACAGTGAGTGATCGTTCTTTTCTTATTTATTGATGAAGAAAGTGTTCGTTGATTGAGTGTTCTGATTCTCCCTGTATCTGCATTTCCCTCCCTAGAGCATTGCTTTAACGATACGACTGATGGGGACCAGAAAATTAAGGACAGGGTGGCTTGTGCATTAGCTCATCGGTCTGTGTCCACTGATGAGCCAGGTTTGCTTTACTGAGGCACGGCATCTGCATCCTGGGGAAATACCTTTTACAAAGGTTCAGTAGGAAATTTAAAAAAAAGAAACAACTCTTCCCCTGGAGGAAGCCCGCTGCAGTGTGTGGGGCCAGGTGCTGGATGATCGAGATTCAACATGAAATTTAAGTTTCATGGAAAGCCCCTAGAGTTGGAAGCACAAATGTGTAGCGATTAGAAATTGAAGAGACCCGCATGTGCATTTCATTGCCCCATCTGAGGTTGCATGTCAATGGAATGCATTCACACACACACACACACACACACACACACACACACACACACACACATGTGATAATAAAACTAGAGAGGTAAAGGCAGGCTTCCGGCTGGTTGGTGGATGGGTGGGGGTTAGGACGGTGAGAGAGTGTGGGGCAGGAAACCGGTGAAGAGAAGGCTTTGCTTCTCCTGCACATGTCCAAATGTGGTCTTCACAAGGATGGGGTTCTCCGTGGCAGAGGAGAAAGACCTGTGCTCCTCTTAACCCCCCCCCCCCCCCTCTAACTTCAAACTTCTTTGGACAATGTAGAAGTTCCACATAGGTCATGGGGAGTCTTGAATGCTTGGGTTTACCAGAAACCTTTCCTCACAGTATTAGGGCACAACTTTGGAGAGAGAGAGAGAGAGAGAGAGAGAGAGAGAGAGAGAGAGAGAGAGAGAGAGAGACAGGGGGGTAGGGAAGGAAAAGACAAATCCAATAACTTACAAAATGATGCTAAAGGAAAGATGTCTATGTGTTGAGTGCCAATGCTGGTCATAAGCCAGCTTTGTCTTAGGAGATGGGGGGGAAATGGCCAACCAATAAATCAAGAAAGCAAAGAGAAGGTTGGAAACACTTGGAGAGCCTGAGGGCCTACAGACTCCCCTCCTCCTCCCTCCCCCAGAGCTGCTAAAGCCATGGAGCTGGCCTGTTTTATAGAACTCTTCCTCGGTCCCTTGCTCTGATCCTCTCTGGGGCCTTCTATCAGAATCATAGACTCATATAACTTTAGAGCCAGAAGACTCCTCTGAGATGGCATGCCCATAAAAGAGGAAACTGAGGCCTAGAGAAACGATCACTCTTTGGTTGCTGGCCAAACCATTTGAGACAGGTGATTCACTCAGACCTCAAAACAGCAGGCAAGTTTTGAATCCAAACTGAGTGGGAATCAGACAAGTAGAGCACAGATACTTCTGCTCCCATACCTGTCATATTTATTTATTAAAAGGGAGCAAAGGAAGTCACCATCAGAGAAATCAACTTCTGAATGAACCCCTCAAAAGCTGTGAACTCTCTCCTTCTCTACCTTTCCCATCTCCTCTCTTCTTTCTCTCTTCCCTCTCACCCTCTTTTCTCTCTTCTCTTTCTCCCTCCCCCCCCCCCCATGTAACTCTGTCTTTAATACAATTAAAAAACAACAACAACAACACAATTCCAGCATATCCCAAAGGACATGAAAAGCTGCTGGCTGTCTCCTGGGCCTCTTCTTAGTGCTGGGCCCATTTAATCCTGTGAGTGGTGAACTCCAGAGAGTCATTAAAGAACTGTGGATCTAGATTTATGTTAGAGAGGTGATAATAGAAACCAAAGGCACCCTGTTAAAAGCATCTGAGCCTGTTCTTTCATTTCTATCATCTTTATTTATCCTTTTCATTATGAACTAAACTAGCCCATAGCTCAGCATTTTGCTAAATTATTTTATTTTCCCCCAAGAAATGTTCCCTGTTGGGATACAGATCAGGATTTAAATTCACCCACCTAAGAAAACAATTGTGCAGAATTTTTCCTCCCTGAAGGCTCCTATCTTACCATAACTCTCAGCATTTTTTAAAATGTACACTCACATACACATACTTATCATTTCTGCATTTATCTCTGGGCTTATTTGCTTTGTTTTCCATAACCTCTGTGTATTCAGAATTTGTGGTCATGGAATGACTCATGCCGTATTCAGATCCTGAACACCTGCAACTTAGCACAACTGATCAAAGTGGAAAGGGGACAACAAAAAAAAGTACTTGTATGCTCCTTACTTAGTACTTGAACTCCAGGCTTCACTTGGGAAATACAGGCCTGCCATTGGTCTGGGTCTGCTATTTGAGGGTATTTTTTTTTTTTGAACATCAAAATGTCTACAATGTTCCTCCAATTAGCCTCACAGTATATTTCAATCCATGTCAATGCCACTTCCTCTCTGTCCCCTCCTCATTTGCATACACACAAAGGTTGCTGAGAGAGAAGGAGGAAAGGAAAGGAAGGGAAAGAGAATCTGTTTAGGATTGTGGGCTGAATCTGTCCTCCTACCCATCTCCTCTGATAGGGCATCTAAGGATGTTTTTCATGTGGTGAATCACTTCACCAGCTTTACTCTTAACCACCCTGGCTGGATAAGTTTGAGATTGCGTCCCTTTTGCTTGACAATCTGCAGTTGGCCCCACATTTTTATGTGAGGTCTTGTTCATGAGCTAACAGAAAGATTGTGGCTGTAATCAGGCTGGAAATGCTCCTCATCAATGTCTTGCAGAAAGAGGGGGTGTCCACGGAGTGGCATTTGGGAGTTGGTCCTTGTATATAGAATCTACTGAGGACCTTAGTCCTGAGACTACTTTGTTTGCTAAATTAGGAATTCACTATTGAAAATCTCTTCTGAGTCTAATTGAAGAGTTGTGCCCTTTGTAAAGCAGCTTGAATTTCCCTGGAACCTCGTTATTTATTTATTTATTTATTTTTCATTTGTGGGGTAGGAATGATAAGATCTAATTTGTTGGATTGTTTTCTGAATTAAAAATACTGGGTTGCAAAGATTGAACATAATAGGCCCTCTCGGAGTGGCTGTTTGTTATGATTATTCTTGGATTAATTAACTTGGATTAGTTTCCTGAGAATGAAGGAGGTCTGACCAAGCACTTTATAACAGATTTAGTGGTTACACTTGAGAGCTAGGAATTGTACGACTGGCCATCCATGAGCAGTGGGGTTACTTTTTCAAGGTCTCATCAGGACAGAAAATCTGTAATATATCATTTGAGTCATAAAATCTGTTTGAGGCCCCAAACTGTAAATCATGAGCTTTTATTTAAAATATGCAACAATAAATTTTAGCAAGAGAGCGAAAAGGAGAAGGGAGAGATAGAAGTGAAGACAGAGAGAGAGAGAGAGAGAGAGAGAGAGAGAGAGAGAGAGAATATTTAGGGAAAAAATAATCTAACACCAATGTCATGTGTACTTTTAGTCTAAAAGTTGCATGGGATAGCTCTTGAATTTTAAATAGATCCTTCTGACAACTTATGACAGTCTAGAGCTATCAGTCACAAAGTCAAATTAATATGCAAATGTGTATGTTAAAATCAAATAAAAATAATTTCATTAGTAATATTAGGGCCCCAAATTCCACCACTTGGAATAATAATCCCTTAGTCATAATGAATCCTGTGTTAACTAAGAAAATACCTTTAATTGTTGATAGGCTAAATGCTCCATAGTATGTATGGGAAGATTCAATGCAGTCGTACAAATGTTATTATTCTCATAGGCCGATCTTCCAGCACCAATGTGCTTGAGGCAGCCAATCATGAGCAAGGTTAGTAATTTAAGTCTCTACAGAAGCACCTCTTGGCTCTCTTTCCTCAATATACTTTCAGGGAATTCTCCTCCCTTAAAAAAAAAAAAAGTAAAAGGAATCCCATTCTTATACTTACTTTTATTCTTGATGTCATATCTGTGGACAATAATACAATTGGGATTAGTGGGCTACTCATTTGATTTTCTCAATCCTGTTTATAAACTGAAAGTCATTTGAAATCTCTGCAGTTCCGGAAAAGTATCCTAAGAATTGACCATTCTCCCTTACATTTAAGAAGAGTTAAAAATTGCAGATGGAAATTCTGACTATGTGATAATATTTGTTTTAATGTGAGCTTTGTAAAGATGGCCAAAAAAAAGTAGGTAAAACTTGAAATCTAACATCTCAAGTGATTTGCAAACAACTTTTCCCTAGACTGTTTTGTTATATACACCATTTAACTGCTCTGATTCTGAAGACAGATGTAATCATAATGACATGAAACTGGCTACTTGGAGGCTAAAATCAGATTTCATGTGTCATACACTGCAAGCATTAGGTAACTGCATGTTTAACTCGACCATCTCTGATTTCAGTTTGGGTAATGCACAGTTTGTCAAAAAAATCAAAAATAATACGGAAAACAAAACAAAACAAAAAACAGGTAGAGTGTCTATTGAAGAAAAACTGCTAATCCTCTTTGACTCTGGCAGAGATTATACAAAGGGAAAATATATAGACAGGATTAAGTTTGGAGCAATGCACAGATACATACTTGCCTTAGTGAATATAGTTTGCCTTAGTGAATGTAGGATATAACTTGCCTTAGTGAATATAACTTGTCTTAGTGAATATAATTTCCTGTAGCAAAGGCTGGGGGAATATATACTCCACACATTGTGTAAAATATCCATTGTGTCCATGTGTGCTTTGGTTAGCTTGTCAAACACTTCAAAATATAGGCACAAAAATTAATGGTTTGTAAGTGGTGTCTTCGGAGGCTCTGGAGGGGATGAAGAGCTGCTGCAATATTGTTTTCTTCAAAATGATTTCTCTCGAGAAATGTAAATGTGACAGCTGAAATTCAGTTAGGCAGATCCTATGGCTGGGACAATGTGCTTAGAACATATTTTTCTGAGGCCAAGGACTTTATTTTGTTCTCTGCTACATCCTCAGCACCCCAAAGGAACAAATACCTGACACACAGGATGCAGACAAGAATGATATCTTCTTGATTAG